TCAAAATTTGGAGCCAAAAATGCAAGGGAATTCAAAATTATAAGGAATCTTCAAAACACAATAGAAGCCTAACTCTATGAACTTGCTAATGAAATAATAGCAAGCATGAACTCAAAATCATATACATAAAAGCTCATCAAACTCTTGGATAGCAACAATTACTCTCAAGAAAAATTAGATCAAACTCAAATTAAGAACAAATTATGAAGCATATGACAAATAAGGACTAAACATAACTTCACACATAAAAACTATAGATTCAAAAATTCAAATCATGAAATACTTTTGGATTTTAAATTTCAAACCTTTTTCACATCAATCAATACTAAAAATGGAATAAATATAGGCACAAGTTCATTGGTCCTAAAAGTAACACAAGATTTGATCCAATAATTACTAGTTCTACAATTTTTTGGAACCAATTTTTACAAGACAAGCTAGATCTATCAAATTACATGCAAATATTTAGATCTACGCAACAAGTATCACACGAGACAAGTAAGAACAAATTTGAACAATAAAAATCCAAAAAAATTAGAAGACCACACCTCAATGTATGAACTTGACTTTGATATCAAAATGATGGAATTCAAGGTGAAGATGATTGGCGATTTTCTCCATGCTTGACTCCTAAGCTCTTTTTATGGATCTATTCTTACCTGAGATCGATCGTGAGGGACGATCTACTTGGGAAGATCGATGAGTCTCCTTTGCTCGGTACGTCTGCTGCTCTAAGGTGGGGGTGGTACCTCAAAATAGACTCCAATGCTTAAGTTAGTATTTGATGGTGTAGATATCTCGTATATATAGTGCACGTACCTCGATGTAAATTAGGGTTTTCCTCTTGGGCGGAGATAAGGTTGATTTGGGCCTATGGTTGGTCGCGGCCCAATAGACAATGGGCCTTTGTGTTAGCCGATGTCGTGTAGCACTTGGATACTGAGCTCGGTCTCGGTGTCTGACATGGATAGTACAGTAGCCTCTCGAGCTCTGAGCACCTCAGGTCAAAAAGTTAGTACCGAGTTTGGTAAGGGGTCGTGACCCTTCATTTCTGCCTCTTGGGCCGAGTGTCATGCGTCATTAAGGCGTTGCCTCATTTCGCGAAATGGAGGCGGCTTGTAATGAAGAGTGGTGGCTCATAATGGTGGGATGCACCCTGTCATTATGACGCCCTATTAAATGCTTTGCTCCTTTGTCGTTTTTCATTTTTTAGACACTGGTTTCCCTCTATTGGCCATTTGCATTTCTCATTTTCACGTTTGCTTTTTCATTTACGAGTTGGGCTTCTTCGCTCTGAGTGTCTCCTCCGTCGTCTTTTCCGGCAATACATTCACCGTCGGTTGTCAGTGTTCTAGGAGTACCAGGTACTTCTTTCCCTCCATTTTCGTCTCTTCCATTTTCTAAGTCGTATTGTGAGCGATGGCCAGTAAGGGAGAGCAGGGTTCAGTCCCCCCTGAGGGTTCCTCGGGGAGTGCCAAGGGGAAGGCTCCGGTGTGTGGGGAGCCCATGGTGGTCGTTGGGGAAGTGGCCCCTGTGGGCAATGATAAGAAGAAGAAGAGGGGAGGAAACAACCCCAAGGATTCGCACCCCATCATTTTTGTTCCAGGTTATGAGTGGGTTAGGGGGGATGTCGGTGAGTTTGAGAGTAGGTTTAGAACCTTTCTCGATGTGAACGCTCTGTGGAAATCACTGACGATCTGTAAGTCGACCATTTCAAATCTTATCCAGGTTGAGCCTTTCCATCCCGGTGAGTGTGTATACATGGCGATTACTGTAAATACTCCATTTTTTACATGTATCGCTGCCTTTTTAGAGACCTCGGCGTTTGCTTGCCGTTCACCGAGTTTGAGTGTGGGTTTCTGAGGTTTGTTAATGTAGCCCTCTTCCATTTGCATCCTAATAGTTGGGGATTTTTGTGGGCCTTTCAAGTTTTGTGTTCGACCCTGGGGATGAGTGCCTCTTTGTTTGTCTTCCTACATTTTTACCAGCTTAAGTTGGGCGAGTCTCCCTTAGGTTGGGTGTCTCTAAGTGGGAGTAAGGTTGGGGGGTTGTTCCAACTCTATTTCCAATCTTATAAGAATTTTAAGAAAGAGTTTGTTCGGGTCCGTCCTATCAATAATGACCCGAGGACGGAGGAGGTATTAATTCCATCACGGAGGGGAGGCGAGGTTCCCCTTCTTCTGGCAGTAGAGCCCGGTGAAGTTCAATACGGTGGGCACCAGATGTTCTTACTTGAGATCGGTCGTGAGGGATGATCTACTTGGCAAGATCGGTGAGCCTACTTTGCTCGGCACGTCTGCTGCTCTGAGGTGGGGGTGGTACCTGCAAAAGAGACTCCAATGCTTAAGTTAGTATTTGATGGTGTAGATGTTTTGTATATATAGTGCACGTACCTCGATGTAAATTATGGTTTTTCTCTTGAGCGGAGATAAGGTTGATTTGGGCCTACGGTTAGCTGCGGCCCAATAGACAATGGGCCTTCGTGTTAGTCGATGTTGTGTAGCGCTTGGATACCGAGCTCGGTCTCGGTGTCCGATGTGGATAGTACAGGATCCAAACTCAAAATAAACTCATAAAGATGGAGAGGATTTAGAAAGTGAGGTGCACCATTCTCAAGGAGAGATAAGCAAGAAAAATGATTCTTTCCCCAAGGAGGATTTCCTTGATGATGAAGAACTTTAGGAGATAAATTCTACTTAGAGAAAACTAGAGACCTTTGAGAGAAAATTTCATAAATGTATACACTCAATAGCTCAAAATTGACGAATACAAGTTAGGAATAGAAACATATAAAGCTATGTAGCTTAGGAAGAAAGTTAGACTAACCATGATAAAAAAAATGAATCATGACTGCTTAACCAAGATTTATATAATGAATGAATTTGGAGCCAAAAACCCTTAGCTCTAAATGTCATATTCTTTCTCATGTGCTTTAAATCCAAACTAGCCTATAAACATGTGTCATGTGACAAACAAAGATTGTGCGACTAATTACTAAGATGTGTGACTAATTTGAATTAGTTTGCCTAAGTACGAAGTATAAAAAATACTTCATGTGATCACCTAACCCATATAGGGTGATGCACATGCTAGGCACAAAAGCTAATCCAATTTAATTATATGAATCAATTCGATACACTTGTTAATTAAGCTCAATTTTTGTCTAAAATGCAATTTAGGCTTTCATAATTAAAATTTATAAACTATTTTATAGTAGTTTGAAAAATAATTAGCACAAGGCTTTTGTAATCCTCTCCAATACTATTGGAAATTTCTAGTATGAGGTTGTGTGTCTCTCTTAATATAAATTTCATTTATTTTATTTTTATTTTTTTATGTGTGCATTGACATGCAATCATATTAATGATAATTTTTTTTATCTGTTAATAATGTAATTTTATATTAATAATATATAATTTATTTTCTTTTATGAAAATGGGATCGTTATAATTACACGTTATGGTAAAAACATTTTAGAAAAAATGTGTTTATTGAACTAATATATTTTATTTTGATTCCAGACCTATATTTCTGTTAAAATATTCATTATATTTTTAGCGTGTCTGTAATTGTTTCTGAATTTAAACAATAGTCAAAGTTCTGTATTTTATTTCTCCCAATAGAAATATTTTTCAACGACAGTAACGGAAATAATATCTAAATAATATATTTTATTTTTTGACTGTACTAAATTCCTTGAAATTCAATGTCTTTATAAAAATAATATGCTCTAATATTTTTGCTTTCTCTACAAATAATTTTCGGTTTATTAGTAAGGGAAGAGGTACTCCATGTATCTTAATTTTTAAAAAATTAAAAATAAAATGAAAATAATAAAATGGATAATGAATAGTTATTGAAAAAGTATAAGGAAACATTAAAAGGCTCTTAAATCCTTTTTTTTTTTCTAAACAATTAAAGAATATAATAGACTAATTGAAAGTTAAGACCACAAACTGTTATAAAAAAGTGTAGTCTTTTATACAAGTGTTAGTAACATATTCTCTAACACATTTTTAATATACTCGTTGATTAGAATTTATTGAAAACTATAAAATTAGAAGAGAAAATCATAAAATAAAAATTTTATGTTTAAAAAAGTGTAATTGAAAGTATATTTTAACATGTCGCCATTGATACATATGTATAAGAGATTGCATCAATAATATCATATTACTTTTTGAATTCTAAGAGATTGTGTCAATAATACCATGTTACTTTTTGAGTTCTAATTCTGTAACCGAAGACAAATTAAGGAAGACCAATGGGGCCAAAATAGATTCCAATTCCTACAAAACCTAATGAACAAAGTTGTACAAGACAATGTGGACCGGGAAACAACGTGTCCCTTGAACTATTGAAAATATAATCATAATTAAGAACAAGATTATCACACTCTTTTCCACCACCACCTTTGTGGTACAGACTTTAAATGACATAATAACTGCATTTGGTTATGTTTATCTCAGAAAATTATAATTATTTTTTTTCAATTATCTTAAGGGATTTAATTTTTTAACTATTTTCCAAAAAATGTTGTTCCCAAACACATACTAAATGGTATATATCCTTTGCCAAAAGATATAATAACATCAACATTTTTTGTTTGTTTTTGTTTTTATGCTAATAACATCAACAACTTAATATCTCACATGTATGTGATGTTTTAATAAAGTGCTTTTTTTTATTGGACCATGTTTACACGGTATATATATAGTATCTTAAATTTAAACTTCATATTTTATATAGGATACGATATCTAAGTTTATGAATAAAAAATCATTTTTACAACGTCAATTAAATCAAATTGAGAAAAAGAGGGGAAAAATTGATAAATCACAATTAAAAAATAGATTTAGTATGAATATTGTTTAAAATTTTATCATTGGAATAAACATATTGTGAGTTGTTCGTGAATTATTTAAATGTAATGTGCTTATGTGAGACTTAATAAAGTAAAAATAAGATAAATAATAAGATAAATGTTAAACAATTCTTATTAAGGTTCATGACCTTTAGTATGATTCAAAATTGATCATAATGAGAAACATTCATGTTTGATGCTTAACAAAAGGTAGTTGAGATGTGGGATCTTGAGGCTTCCACAGCAGAGAAAGAGACATAGCACTTTTCTGTCATTTTCTTCTAAGCAAAATGGAATAAACTGAATTATGTATAGTATTTTATTTTTTACGTACAATGATGGATGATCGAGATTTAAGATCCTAGGGGTTCCCCACTTTGAGTAGGCTCTAATAATTGGTCCACTTCCCAACTTTATTTTGGTGCAACCATGCCATGGACTGGAACATATTCCTGTGTGAAAGAAAAATAGAAAACAAATAAATGAACAAGACAAAACATTCCCTACTTCTTTATCTTCAACTTTGCTTCTTCATTCTCTCTAATAATTCCCAAAGCAGACCAACAAAAAATTGTCTATCTTAGGCATTATGAGGATTTGCAAATTGCATGTTTCGTCTTATATCATATCTTACCTCCATTTTCTTTAAGAGTTCTACTGCTGTGTCTGCTATGACCACAATATGCCTTGCAGAGTTTTCTATAAAACCCTCTTCCACTCCCTTATCAAATAGGCTCAACAAGCTATTGAAATACCCATCTACATTAAACAATCCCACCTGTACATTCAAAGTTTAAATAAAAATTAATAACAAAACACATGTGCCAAGTTCAATTATACAAGGTTTTTTATTAAAAAAAAATAAACATGATTTTAGTCCTTAAATTTTTGTCAATTAATTTTTATTTAGTCTCGAAATAAATTTTATTTAGTTTTCACCCCTATAATTTTCTTCTTGTATGAACAAAAAAATCTTGATGTTAAGAACCAATTGTGTTAATGAAGACTAAAAATAAAAATCGAACAAAAATTTAAAAACTAAAACTAATAAAAAAAATTGTTCAGAAACTAAAAATGAAATTAAGACGTAAATATTTAAAAAAATATATTTAATTTTAAATCGTTTCTGCATGCTTCATGATTTTAAACAGATGACATAGTAATTCATTTTGAATGCATAAACAAGTATAATCATACTGGTTTGTCATGTATTCCTAGTTGAGACCAGGCTATCACTTCTAGCAGCTCTTCCATGGTTCCATAGCCTCCTGAACAGTGATCAACTTTGTTAAATATTCTATGAATATGAAGTCACTAGAAAAATGTTGAAAAACGTTAATTAAACAGAACATTATTGAAATTTTATAGCTTTAACATACCAGGAAGTGCTATGAATGCATCAGCATGTTCATACATGATTGACTTCCTTTCATGCATATCTGCAACTGTTTTGATCTCTCCGAAGGTCTCTCCAGATACCTAAAGTTAGTATTTGATGAGAGTTCTCCTTTTCTAAGGAAGAATTCAAATTCAAAGATGCACATGATCGTAGTAATTAAAGATAGAAATTATGGTACCTCACGAGGCAATAGAGCTTCTGGAATCACTCTAACAAATAGAAGATAAACAATCAAGTTTATGAATCCATAAATGAAACTATATTAATAATCTAATCTAATATATTTATAAAAAATTAAAAAAAAAATACCCAAGCACATGGCAACCTCCATTTAGCACAGTCTGAGAGATCAAACCCATTAGTCCTAAGCTTCCACCTCCATAAACCAAATCAACTCTCCTCTCAACCTGCACTCAACACAAACCAAAGCAAGTAAACAACCAACAACATACATGCAAAACTCCTAAAAATACAATGAGTCTCTTTAAATATAAATTTAGAAGAGAGTTACTCTACTAAAATTTTAAAAAAATTCAATAATTTTTTTTTCTTTCTAAACTTATATCCAAACAGAACTTCATTGCACATTGTTGGAGATCCCCCATGAATGGAAATAACCCAATGTTCTTTGATGAATTGCTATAAAACAGTTGAGTAGGAAATACCATCAATTTACCAAGCTCAAGAGCTGCATCACTGAATGCAGATTTGTATCCAGCTCTACTACCACAGAAAACACATATTCTTTTGAACCTCCCTTGATGCTCATTTTCTGCACACACCTTTCCTTCTCCTTCCATCCTTAATTACAATGTAATCATTCAAGAAAAGTGCAAGAAAAAAGAATAGAAGAAACTGGATACAAGTTTGTGTGTGTTTGTGAGAGAGAGAGAATGAAAGAGAAAAACCAAATTAAGAATTGAAGACACCCTTGTTTCAGAAACTTAACAATTTTATCCGAAGAAACTCCCTTTCATCTGCTAGACAAGAAAGAACATGGAACTGAAGCTATCCCCATCTTTTATATATAGGAATGAATTCTTTTGTACTTCGGACGATGAAAATTCTATATTCAGTGATTCCATCTCAGCTACGTGGGCCATGCATTATTGTGTTAGTACAAAGTTTGATTGAAGATTGTTATTTACTCTTTGGTATGAATGATTTTCTGAAATGTTTATAAGATATGTAAAGATACACGGGAGATTTGAAAGATTTGTAAGAATTCTAAAAGATTGGTAAGAAATACGTACGATATAATTTTTATAATACAAAATTTTAAATTTTTCCAAAGAATGATTATATATATACTTATATTTGTATTAGGGATTTTTTTTATGTATAAGAATGAAAATACGAGTGGCTGAGAGATATCGAACTTATTCACTAATTAAATTTATCCGAAAACACTAAAAAGAAAAAAAAAACTTTTTTCCGTAAATTAAAAATAGTTTATATAGAAATTAAAAATAAGGTTTTGAAAAAACTGTTATTAAAAATATTTTATAAATTAATTTATGTAAGTGTAAGTTAATTTTAATTTATAAAAAATCTATTTATTTATTTAAAATGTGAATTTGTCCAAACAATATTAATTTTCTTATAAAATGTAAAACTTTGTCTTACAAACAATATTAAGGGGCCTTTTTGCACGGCTGTGAAACAAACTGAGAGTAAAGAAATCATGGTGGTCAGTATCGAAAATTATTATATTAAAAGTTAAAATGATTAAAATCAGAAGAAAAACAGATATGGGATTATATATTGTTCAAACCACTGAATTGAGAAAGAAAAATAATAATAACTAGTATAGAAGATGTATTTTGTGATTTTGTGTATTTTAAAAAAAATGAGAAAAGAAAGCAATTTTTAAATAAAAAATTGCATTGGAGTTAAACTTAAACGTATGGTTTAAAATTAAAGAGAAATTTATAGATCACTTAAATAAATAAAGTGGATTGTTTATTTAAAGATCACGACACATACTTACAAATTACAATTCAGTGATTTAAAAGAGATAAATGAAGTAGATAATTTGCAAGACTTTTGTTGATTTTGCAAGGGTTCTGCAACCATTTTTCCCCCAATTTCCATGATAGTGCCTTCACCATCATCTCTAAGTTTTGTGCCACTATCTAACATAAATCTAGAGTCATTAATATTTTATCATATGTTGACACACTTTAGACCAATTGTTGATTGTTCCATAAATCTAACATGCACAACAATTAATGAATCACTTGGAAACATTTTCTCACCATGCATGTTGAGGGTAGCATCACACCGTAAAAGTGGTTCAAGAGTGATAGAAGAGAGAGCTAACAAAGTTAATGGATCTCATCTCAGTTCTATATTATATTTTCGTTATATTTGGTGAGTGTTTTGCGTCACGTAGCATTCAGTCACTTCGTCGATTCAATCAAAGACTAGTAACTAGTTTCTAGAATAATTAATGCTTTAAATAAATAAATAAATAAAAACTTTTGGTTAATTGATTTTGAATTTTGTGCCTCAGCTAGACTAGCTTCTAAACCAAAAGTGTTATGCATGTGCGTTAGTTTTGGTATGCAGATTAATCAATTGGGATTTAGATATTTTTTTACACCAATTGGGATTTTGATTTGGAGGTTCTTATATATTCAACTCCCATGCATTTTTTTTTAATTGAATTTTTGATAAAAATAATTTTTTAATATATTTTCTATATCCTAAATTAAGTCCTTGATAATTTATGTCTCTTTTTTATCCTCATCTAAAATGCTCATAATATATGCAATCTATTATATAAAGGAATATATATAGAGAATAAGATTACATTAATAATAGACGACATGTATACATATATTCATCCTTAATTGTAACATGTATAAAACAATAAATAATAAAATTAGAAATATTACTATAGCTTAAAAACATTTGATTCATTCAATTCTTGTGATGATGAAAGAAGATGAAAGAGAGAAATTATTCTATTAGATTAGAATTTTACTATGTGAAGTCTCTGCATGAGTGTTAGAAATAGGAGCCTTTCCCTATTTTAAATTCATATAGGCTAACTTGTCCATATAGAAAGTACGCACATAAGTCAAACCAAATCAACATATTATTGATAATGCTTTGTAATAATAATATTAATTCTAATAAACATCTATTTATATATTATTAAAGGTAGAATAATGTCCTCGAAATTGTTTCTTGAAATTGTTTTTTTCTCGAAACTAATTTTAAAGGTCTTCTACCTTTTAAAATTCAAACATTTCTTATATATTTGTTTTAAAACTAAATTATTATTTTTTAATAAATTTAATGACACCAATTAAAGATACCACATTTTTAATGTCAATTATGTGTTTTCAATGATTTTTATTTGATTTTTTTTTTTATAGATTTTATGTGTCTTTTGTTAGTTCATAAGTAATCTATATTTCACCATTTATTATCCTCCTTTACCTATTATTCTGCTATATTCTTTGTTATTTTTTGCCTTTTATTTTTGTGTTTGCAGTATCGAATTTTTTGTTCAAATTTTTTTTTTTGTGTTATCTATAGATGATGGTGATAACGATGTCAAACATTATTAAATACAACAAGTTTTTCCTATAAATTTTGTAATATAGGGAACCTATGTCAGAATCCAGAATCACAAATCATAAAACACGAATTTTGCATTTCAAGTTAGCTAGGGGATTTTTATCAAACACTTTATATGAAAAAAATTATAAACTAAAAATTAAACTCAAGAATCACGAATTTGAGAATACAATCGGATAAAACATCGATTCAAGTTTTGATTATTGCAGTATAAAAAAATATAATTCAAATTACAATATTTAATATTTAATTTAAATTAAAGAACAAAGAACGCAATCGTGTTCTATGAAAATACTAAGAAAATAAATCTATTTCATATTGTTCCAATCCAAATTGAATCCAATAATTCGTTGTTCTAAAATTAATTTGAATTAATTTTGTTCTTCAATTAATCATAATACAATTCATAATCATGAATTTAATTCAAAATTAATTGAAGAACAGATAAAGATGAGAGGGATTCAGATTTGAGAGGATTTTACCGCATAATCGAAAACTTAAATCAATTAAGAGAACTTAGCTACGCATCTTCATCATTGTCCACACACAAATATGTTTGAAGAAAAGATGAAGAGTCTATGCCAAACTAGAGAGTAATTCGTGAGAGAGAAGAGAAGAGATCGAGTTAAGAGAAAATAAGAGAAGTTTCTTAAGCAAGAAATGTCAAATTTGAAAATGAAGTAAAATTGTATACAACAAGTCTCATAACACCTATTAATAGAAAAAAATAGTAGGCCTAATCTAAGTAATTAAAAGTCCAACCCACTAAATCAACTAATAACATTACAATCTAAAAACAAACAGAAAATACTGCACAGGGCCGCAACATTGCACTACTTTTTTGGACCTCTTCCAATATGAATTAGCCATGGGCTTCAACAGAGAAGTTGTAGAAATCGTTTTAAGCTTTTGAATGATACCAAGAACATCCCAATCCGAGTTTGGGAGCCCTAGATATGGCATGCTAAAGGCAGTGTTCAAGTGGGTAAAAGTCTAAAATTTGAGCAAGATTTACCACAATCATCAAATAATAACACTATCATAAATTTAAGGCAAAACATGAATATAAGACACATACAAAAGTCAAAAAAGGCCAAATAAATGATTACAAAGTTGCTTCCTAAAATGTACTATTAGATGGTGACAAAGAATGACTTAAAAGTACATGCATGACTAAGGCAAGATTTGAATATTCAACTTTTCACATATTTTATCCTTCTTGAAAAATTTACCATAAAGACTATTTTATTACTTTCACAATTCAATATATTCTCCATATTGACTATATGTGAGTTACTGTATTAATAGACATTCAATTTTCTCTCTATTGTTTAATTTTCATCCTACACTAAGTTTGTCATCAAGAAGATGAAAGCTACATTCTCTCCTTTCATTCTCATTCTTCTCATTATTTTCTCGCATGTTTTTGATTTAACAACTCCTCCTTTTACATGAGATGGACAATTGAAAAATTGATTAATATTATACTTTCATTGTGAAATTGAGTTTTTGGTGTTTTGTTTTAGAGTAGCATGAGATTGGCAAATGTAAAGAATGACAAATGATGAATGAGAAATTGATTAAAAAAAAAATGTATACAAAAAATATACAAAGGTAACCTTTTTTATTTATTTATTCACTACTATAGGATGCATTCTCTACATTGGTTTATGATTCCTTCTACATCATTTTTAAACATGAATTATAGTTATTATTTGTGATTCAATGTATTAAACATGAATTATACTTATTTGTTAATGTAAAATACCTAATTTTGCAGGGAAAATGAGAGAAAGAGAATTTGTTAATATTGAATCAGATATGTTGATATATTTCATTATAAAATTTAACCATTTACATCATGTACTAGATAAGATGAATATCATTGATACTCGAATGCTTTATTTGTTTAAAGGATAATTGTACATGTCTAAAAGACTTGAAATATTTTCAATTGCCTTAATTCTTTTTTGATTAAAATACTTTTTGAGTCTTATAGTGTCACTAACTTTACTTTTTAGTATATATTGTAACACCCTAAGTTTTCTAAAATTATTAAAAGGATGTTTAAACTAATTAAATGAGTTTTAAAAAATATTTTAGAGGCTTTTAATAATTATGAATGTTTTATTAACAAAGAAGATTTGTTAAGTTATTTTGTTATAGAAATTATTTGGAGAAAATATGTTTTAATTAATTATGTAATTAAATGTGTGTATATATATATATTATCAATTACTATTATTGTATTTGTTATAATTATTGATTTGGTTTTAACAATATTTAAAATAAAAGAAGTGGAAAATAGGGAAGAAGATTGGTGAGAATACCTCTTGAGCGAGCTTTTATAAAGTGTTCTTCAAATATGTGGAATACTTGAGTCACTTTTTGGTTGCCCTTCACACTACAATATACGTTACAAATCTCAAGAAATACAAAGGGAGAAGTGTTCTTCAAATATGTGGAATACTTAAGAAAAGAAGTGTCTAAACTCTAGAGGGACTTTCAGA